GCGGCCGCCGCGCGGGAGGGGCACGGGCGGTTCTCCTGGTTCTCCTGCCGGATAGAGGTGCGGGAGCTCGGTTGCTGGTGACTAAGCTCGTTTGAACTCGGGAGGCGCCCGCTGTCCCGCACAATTGCGCTATTGGCATGAGTTCCTCTCTCTGTAAATAGGCTTAGCTTGTTCCCTGTCAGGTTTTTGGGTGACTCCTATTTTTTTCATATTGCTTATGGTCTTGTTCACTCATTTGTGTTATTTTCCAACCTTCTGTTAAACGATTTCTTTCTGTTTGCTTTTTTGTTAGTTAGCTCATCTGATGATGATCATGATGATTTGCAGGATGCTGCAAAGTGATCATATACACTGTGCCTGGTGTTGTGATAAGGCAGTTTGAAAAATGTCAGTTATTATAAACTTGTTAGACCTCAGATTAGGACAAGAAAGGGAGTGGGCACTGGGAATAGCTTTAAGGAAGGAAATATAAAGGGAATAATGCTGAGATTAAAAAGCAGAGCAAGTACAGCTGTCCTAAAGAGAAGTATATTTTCCCATTGCCGTTCTCTGTTTCACTTGTCTGAATACATATAGAAGTGTAATTCAAATGGATTTCAGTCTTTTCTAAAGATAGGCTGAAGTCAGCAGGCATTCTACGCAAATCCTAATAGGCAAGAAAACCTCCTGTAACAAATCTTGAGGACATGTGACAACATCTGTTAATATAAACTTAGGTTTTTTCCTCTTGATTGTTTATATATGGCTTATTAGTATCGGGGAATGTGGGAGGGAAGTTTGTTCTGCTTATGAACTGGGATAGACGTCCACTAACTGTAAATTCTTTAAAATAGGCTTGAACCTTGCATGAAGAGCTCTATCCATGTGTGAAGTTAAAGTAGGACAGTTGTTTGGCTAAAGGCTTAGATTTATTCCCCTCAGTCAGAAAGGAACCTATTTTATTTCAGATTTGTAGTGTTCTAAGAAAATCCTAGAAATCCCCAAATATGAATAGCCTAAAAGGCAACATGAAAAAACTGGCAGGTGACTAAAATGGTCATTTATTTTAACATATTTTACTCAGTAAAAACAAAATTACTGAAGTAATTCTAAGATGCTACTTTACAGTGCAAAAGAAACTTGATTTTTCTGTTCTTTGACCATACTAAAGCAGTGATAGTCCTAATAGTGAAATGCATTCAGACTGCATATTTTAGTTTATTAATTTTAACTATAGAATTAACTTTAACTATAGAATAGAATAGTATTTATATAGCTATGAAATAGTATGTGTAGGAGATGTGGTAACTCTGGTATTACCACAGAGACTCCATTTTATGAGACTGTTTTGTGGTTTATGCTTTGCAAGTGGCACATTGTATCACTATCATCATCAGTGTTCTGCTTGTAAATAGCATGTAGACAGGGCTTGGCTTTTAGGTGTTTGAAAATTCTGTGATGCACTTTAGTTACACAAATGCACACTTTCTAAATTTTTTGCAGCTAACTTTTCTGAGCAAGTAGTCGAAAGCTTTCTGTCCGATATCTCTACTGGTATATACTATGGATGGGCCCGTGTTGGAAATGGAGATGTGCGTAAAATGGTTTTGAGTATAGGATGGAATCCTTTCTGTAAGAATATTACGAAATCAGTGGTAAGAATTTTGCCTTGTGTGGTACTTTGATTATAATAAATGAGCCAGACATTGACTTTGAATAAGATAAGCAGAATTCGATCTGTAAATCAGATTAGAAATTCCGTTTGCTCTTAGAAATGTATTTGGTATCCATCTCAAACGTTTGTATTCTGGGGAGGAAAAAAAAAAAATCCCCCAAACCCCCTCAGTAGCCATAGAGCATGCAGCTGTAGATAAATCAAATTTATTTTCATTTGCCTCTTCCACCATTACTTAAAAACTTATGAAATAAAAATTCATATTTCCAAAGTGTTTTTTGCTTATTGCGCTGATAGCTAGATAAACATAAGCTTAATAGATGTATTCAGTTTAGTGGTTATGAGACCCTTAGAGTGAGCTGGAACATACTAATCTCTCATCCTTTGCAATCCTTCCACATTTAAAGTATGAGGTTTTGGGGCATCTTAATTTGTAATGATTTTCCAGTAATTCTTCTCTTAAATGGTGGAATCCATACATGTGGTGCTGTGGCTTGATATACAGAATCAAGATCCAAAAATACATAGTAACAGGACAGAGTTAAAATCCTGAACTGTAGCATCTATGTTTTTCTTGCTATGAGGTGCTGGTGCTTTTCCTGAGTCTTGCAGAACTTGGTTTTAATTGCTAATACTTGGAAGCAGTTTTATTTTGACATGAATCCCTGTTTCGAAGATAGCTGCCTTCACTCTTTTTACAATTTTGTCATTCGGTTCCTATGAGTTACTTGTAAAGCTCTCTTTAGAACAGCTGTTTCAATGAAATTCATTACAGTTATTTGGACTCAGCAACTCAATGATCAAATCTAGGCATTATTTGTGATTTTCTGCCTTGAAAATCTTACCTCTGAAATAAATATCACAATGTTCTTAAATGCCATGCAAAGTACAATTCTCCCTACTAACGTAGTCAAAAGCTCTAGCCTCTTAATCTTGCATTATACATGTTAGATTCTCTCAGTTTTCCTGATATGTGTGGGAGAGAATTTGAATTAGAGGTATTAGCTGAACATCCTTGCAACAATGGAAATAAACTAAAAATGCATCGTGATAATTGTCAATGTATTTCTCTTCTTTTAGGAAACACACATTATCTAGACTTTCAAAGATTACTTTTATGGAGGGATTCTTAGAATAGTCATTATTGGATATATTTAACCAGAAAAAAACTTCAGTTCTTTAGGTCAGTATTGCAGGTCTCTTAAACTGATGTTTTATTTGCCATGTTCTTGCATATTGAAAGTACTGTGTCATTGCTCTCTCTCTGTCTTCATAATCAGCTGTTTCATGTAGGGTAGCTGTTTCTCATAATCAGCTGTTTCATGTAGCTGTTTCTCAAGGGTAGAGAGGCCTTACGGAGAGATTTGGATGGACTACAGAGAGCTGGTCAATCACCAACCACATGAAATTTAACAAAAGCAACTGCCAGATTCTGCCTCTGGGATGGGATAATCCTGGTTATATGTACAAATTTGGGGACGAGAGGCTGGAGAGCAGCCCCGTGGAAAGAGATCTGGGGGGTTGGGTTGGTGGCAAGTTGAGTATGAGTCAACAGTGTGGCTTGGCAGCCAAAAGGGCCAACTGTGTCCTGGGGTGCATCAAGCACAGCACAGCTAGCCAGTCAAGGGAGGTGATTTTCCTACTCTACACTGCACTGGTGAGGCCCCACCTCGAGTACTGTGTGCAGTTTTGGGCATGTCAATATAAGAAGGACATCAGACTATTAGAGTGTGTCCAGAGGAGGGCGACCAAGATGGTGAAGGGCCTCAAGGGCAAGACTTACAAGGAGCAGCTGTGGTCACTTGGCTTCTTCAGCTGGGAGAAGAGAAGGCTGAGGGGTGACCTCATCACAGTCTACACCTTCCTCAAGGGTGGCAGCAGAGGGGGAGGTGCTGATCTCCTCTCTCTGGTGACCAGCGATAGGACACGAGGAAACGGAAAGAAGCTGCGTCAGAGGAAGTTCAGGCTGGACACTAGGAAAAGGTTCTTCACTGAGAGGGTGGTCGGTCACTGGAACAGGCTCCCAAGGGAAGTGGTCACAGCACCAAGCCTGTCAGAGTTCAAGGAGAGTCTGGATGACGCTCTTAGTCATATGGTTTAGTTTCAGGTAGTCCTGTGAGGAGCAGGGAGTTGGACTCAATGATCTGTATGGTTCCCTTCCAACTTGAGATATTCTATGATTCTGTCTTATCTTTGACTTCTCAGTAAAATGTTTTTTTTCAGCTGAATCTACTTATATATATATTGGTAACATTAAAAAAATCAAAACCCCACAGCTTCCAGACTATTAGTAGTTAGTTATTTCAGTCTAAAAATTATATTGTCATGTCAGTTGTCTGAGGAGTAGCTTGAAAATCATGAGCTTGTTGTAAAAGCCTTGGTCTAGTCTGTCCATTTCTTCTAAAAATGCATCTGTGTTAAAACTGAAACAGTTAATGAAATTCTGTTGACTTTTTTGATAAAATGTCTTGGAACAAGGAAAAAGTAGTGTTTACAGCAGTGAAAAGTGCAACACATGTCAAAAGCATGTCATTTTAGACATTTAGTTGCCTTTCCAACTTCATAATAAATACATTCTGTGTGATTGTTTTCTAGTGTTTTGTAGTACACCCTTTTTCACTTGCTATTGTGTGTTCAAAATTCAAACCAGCTTTTAAATACTGCTTTTCTTACTTCTCTTTTGCAGAGGCACTCATTTCAGCAATTCAAGAAGACACTGTAGAGGCAAAAAGACAGCTAGATTTACCAGAACGTTTTAAACTCAAAGAGGACAACTTCTTTCATCTGCCAGAAGGCAAAACAATAAACCACTAAACAAAACCATGTGGGTTTTTTTCATCTCACGGAGCTCTTTTCTGTGCACTACTATGTATCATGTATCATTTGATACATGACGTATGCGTGTGTACTGGCTCTGGCTGGGATGGAGTTAATTTTCTTCATAGCAGCTCATATGGTGCCGTGTTTTAGATTTGTGACCAAAACAATGAACATAACACACTAATGTTTTAGCTATTCCTCCTTGCACAGCATCATGGCCTTTTCTGTTTCTCACTCTGCTCCTGCAGTGAATAGATTGTGGCTGTGCAAGAGGCTGGGAGGGGGCACAACCGGACAAGTGACCTGAACTAACCAGAGATACTCCATGCCATCTAATGGTCATGCTGAGCAACAAAATGGAGAGGAGGGGCTTTAGGGAGGTTGGCCATCTTTTGTTTGGGAGTTGGCTGGGTATGTGGTGAGTGATTGCCTTTGCATCACTTGTTTTGTTTTCTTTTTTTCTTCCACTTCTCCTTCGCTTGTTAATCTATTTTTATCTTGACCCACAAGATTTCTTGCTTTTATTCTTCCATTCTTCTTTCCCTGTCCCACTGGGGGAGGTGTGGGGGAAGTGAGCTAGTGGCTGTATGGTCCTTAGCTGCCTACCAGGGTTATCCTGCAACAACATGTTTAGGTAATTGTGATTGGAACTGAACACTAAAACCACACAAGATGATTTAAGTTTGTTTGTGTAGCTTGATCATTTAACCAGTCATGCAAAAGGAGTAGAAGGCTATTTTAGGTCTTTACAGAAAAATTGTGAATCCAAATCTTGCCAGTCATTTAGAGATCTTAGCACGTGTGGAAGAAGACCAAAGTTAGTTGTGACCTCTTCTGCCCCTAAGGTGTGGAGAGTTAAATGCTTCAATGAAGACTGTCAGTTTTTCAGACAGAGAATGTTATTCCAAAGTCTTTTCCCAATTTTATTTCATTCTTACATCTGGATTATAGGTAGCAGCTTAGAAAATTTTTGTATTGATTGAGTCAAAAATTTACCTGTGGTGCAGGAAGATTAGGTAACACTAACAAGAATAGTTCACTATAGTTCCTATTTTTGATATGCTATACAGCTGTCATGTTATAGCTGTCATTTAAATTGAAATTATTGTAATTTTAATAGAAATAGAGGAAATGACTGTTACTCATCGAGTTACTGGAATGTGATACAGGTAGTTCTGCCTAGTTGACTATGCATATCACAACACATAACCTGTGTAGTTGCCTTCTGAGGAAGCGTTTCACTGAAGCTCAGGAAGTGAATGACGGGGAGAAAGTTGGTGCACTGCACAAGTTCAGGCTTAAAGGGTGCAGAACCAGTGTAACAATATTTCTGCTCTTTGGGCCCTAAGGTGGAGGAGGTAACTAAACGCAACTGCATTTTGATTGCTGCTGGCAGCTGCCTTAGATGAGGAAAACTTCTGGGCTGTTCACTATACTGACAGTGAAATGAATGACTTCAAGGTTGAAGTTAGCATGTAAGGCACAGGAAAATCCTTTCAGCCCTCTACACTAAGTGCAGGTAAGATCCAAACTTTTGGCTGCAGATCAGTGAAAGTCTTTGGGGATTCCTGGAATAATATATCAACACTTTAGTAGATATTGAGTATTTATTACAAGTTATTGAGGCCTTTCCCACTCTGAAATGTTTGCACAGATCAATGGAGGGTGTGTTGTCAAAATTGATAGTAATTTGGAAAATACTTGTTAAAATCGTATCGTATGTATGTATATATAGTGTGTGTGCGCTTCCAAATCTACTCCCCCCGATCCCAGTACAATTTTTTTAAATTCCTCCTTGTCCTATTCCATTCTGATCCTGCATTTCACTGTAGAGTTTGAGAGAGCTCTGTCAGGGTAGCCTTATGGGAATTCTCTGTGGTGGGCGCTGTCAGCCTGCCAGGGTTCTAGTTCATAATGTTTTAACTTGCAGCCAGTCTCATGGGGTATTTGGGAAAAGGCCTTGAGCAAGTCAAGGAGTCCTTGTAGCTGTGCAGGACTTCAGCTGAAACTTGATTATTCAGATGAATTGCTCATCGGTCCTGTTGATGGCAAAGATGGAAGGGATATACACCTCTTGAGGGAGGAAAGAATGATTTCTATAAAAGCACTTATTAGAATAAGCAGCATTTTGACCTCTGTTGCTAAGGTTGTTTATAAATTTAACTCCCCAAAGACGCTGTCGGTTTTGTCCTAACTGTTGCCTGGACATTTTCAGCATGCTTTGGCCTTCCTCGTAGGAAAGTGTTGAAAGAAAATGAACTTATCTGCTGTCAGAAATACTTTCTTTAAAAAAAACCAAACAAAAAAACCCCAAAAAATTTAATGGACTTTTACTGTATGCATGTTGGAAATCTGTACAAGAATTTTCTTGAAAGTGATTTTTTTTTTTTTCCTCCAGTTTAAAACTGAGCAATGACGGGAGAATTTTTTTCAACTTTTTTTCCCCAGTGTAGGGAGGCATTCTTGAGTGTATGACAATGTCAAGGTCGTCTTTTATATTTTACTTTCTGGAAGGAACAAATAGTAGCCATGGTAGTCAATGTAACACATATTCAAGAACATATTTAAAGAATAAATCTTATATTGATTGTGGTATTATAGCTAAGCTCATAGCTGCCTTTTAATATTATTTTTTTGCCAGTGATTTCATGTGTCTGTTGTGGAAATCGTAGTGCCTTAAGCTGGTTGTCGTAGTAACACTATTCTGTAACTGCTAATGAATGCTACTATCAAAAATTCATTTCATCATTTGGCTTTAAAACCACTATGCTTGAGGATAGAGAACAGTAGCTAAAGGAAAACTTGAGAAACTTAGTTTGCTCACAGCTCTCACCTGGAGCGTGAAGTATGTATACAGTAAAGTAATAAACTGCTCTTTGCATGCTTGCCTTCAAGTTAGAGAAAATGTAATTGCATTCATTTGGCTGAGTGTACCTATCTCTGTGCATTATTTAATACCAAATATTGTATATTGATTTTTAAGTTCAATACATGACTCCTAGCACAGTATAAACTTTATGAAGGGTTATATTTTTGTATTACGTGCAAATAACTATTTCAATTTATGTTGTGACACTGTATCATTAATAAAAGAATGTAACTGAGAAAGTAGCGATGCTGCTTATCACAGGTTTTCTGATTGACTGTATTATATGTGATGCAAATCATCTGTGCATATTCCTTGGCATATACTGAAAGAGGTGCTGCAGAGTTCTTTCAGTACGATGCTTAAACTTCTTTCAGTTTTGGGGGGAGGAGAATTGTTGTTCTTGCTTACAAACTTGGTGCTACATTATTTATGTTCCAGGTTTTTGCAGTTCTTTATTTAAGGCAATATGTAACACCAAGTGAGGCATAAAGGTCACTGAAATTGTTGGAGTTCAAGCAATATAAGTATTTCCACAGTTTCAAATACTTTTAAAATAAAGCCTGTGGTGCATTTTAATTGACTGTCTCCTTCTGAAGTCTATTACTGTTCTGAAATGGAGTTTGTTGACAATATGAGAATAACAGTATAAGAATTTTTTTCAAATGCATACAGGTGATAATGGTCTTATTTGGATAGCTGTGGCATTAAACTATCTGATGTTCTAATAGCCTAAATAACCTGTGCTTAGCAGATGTTAAAATGCAGCATACCTTTATGTTTAGAAAATGTAAAGGCACAATGTGCACAGACAAATAGTCTGCAATGGTTATTCATACAGGCTAGCTATATTTTGAATTTGGAGTCTTCCTAGGAACAGATATGGAACCTGTATTCAGTTGGTATCCTTTTTACTTTAGAACAGATTCCCTATGTATACAACATAATGGTCTCAAAATCTACCTGAAAATGAAACCTGGCTTGCTAAAACCTGGAAATCAATTAAAAAACCATGATTTAAAAAAAAAAAAATATATATTTATATACCTATAAAATTAGAATAGTTATGTTAAATTGTTACTGATGTGAATATACTTTAATTTATTTTTAATAACTTACATATTGTGGACATGGAGACTGTCACAGTTTTCCAAATCAATACAGTGAATTAAAATGCTGGAAAGGAAAGTGTCATTAGCATTTCTACTGAAGAGTGGCACTAGTGTGAAGTCTAGTTTACTGGAAACTCCACGAATGAATGAGAATAGTAAAGAAAGAGGTGCAAGGGGAAAAAAATGAAAAACCAGAAAGATCTTGCGATGGAAAAAAGCTTGATAAGCAAGAAGATGAGAGAAATTTGCCAAAGATAGCAAGTGTGAAGACTAGTTTACTGATATTTTTGCAACCTCATTTGCCACATCCACGTTGAGAGGTTGTACTGAGCCAAAGGGGATGAAAGTTCTTAGTCCTTTGGCTAGTTGCAGATGTGTATCTGAGAACTGCAGCTAAATATAATAATCACAAAGCTGCAGTAGGTGAACTTTGAAAGTTTGCTTCAAAAGACTTTGTACTATTTTAATATCTTTGATACCTTGATATTTTGATAACTTTGGTATCCTTCTTAGAAAGCCATTTCTAAATTGCTACGTAGAGATAACAGTTGGTATCCTTTTTAATTCTTATACTGCCTTAGACTTCTAGCAATTCTTGGAAAGAGTTTATTCAGTTTCTAGTCTGTGAAAATCACTGCTTTGTTGTATAATAGTAAGGGTTATTGCCAGTATTGCTGTTCAGTAAGTTTTGTGTCTGAGGAGGCTTCTGGCAATGACTTGGTTCCTAGGGTGCTTTCCTTTGCCATGCCTAGCACAGTTACGTGTCTCAGTCTTATGCAAAGCTTTGTAAGAGTGATTGCCTAAAAACTTTGACAGAAAAAAGCGTTCATAGGTTGTTTAAACTAGCTAAAATTAAGGTGTGTCTGAAAACCAGTCCCACCCTCGGGATTTTTGTGCTTATTTAGGGCTTAGGGGAGCTACATCCTCAGAATTCTGTAACCTGAAAGTAGGTTTGTCTGTACCCTTTATTTCGAAATTTAAAACTGCTTGGTTCTGTTAGAAGCCAGGTGGAATTAGTTGCATCCTGTTCTTCTGTTCTGGTTCGATTGTTTAAACATCCATCTGAGTGAGGGCAAGGATCTGTCTGCTACAGCTGAAAATGAATCAAACCTGTATCTTGAAACATATTAATCTGGCTCAGGCCTCTTGGGGAAAAGTTTCTCTCATACTTTCACGCTGTTTGTATGTAGACTTTTATATAACCTCTATGTGGCATCCCTAAAGTTGCATCAGGACAGAATGTAATGTAGTGTGGTGTGGGTATGTCGTAAGGATTGCTTTTTGTGTTAGATGGAGTGGACTCTTCAGTGTACTTTGGTATTTGTCACGGATCATGCTGTTGTTCTAACAGCACAGTGTCCACACTGGAGGCATGGATTTAAAAGCTACATCCTCAAGCACCTGTGTTCTTCAGGTTTCTGT